TTTTTTTGTTTTGTTGGGTCCAACCTTGGGCAGTGTTTTCCAAAAATCAATCAAGCCTTTCTTGATCTATAAACTACTCTAATTTTAACAAGTGAATTATTATGTCTCTGATAAAAAAAAAAACATAAAAAATGAAATAAAAAGGAACAATTATAGTGATCATTCAAGAATTTTTTCCAAAACAGAGTAAACTCCATTGAGTCAATTATTTTGTTTTTATTTAGAACAACTTCATTAAACTTTGTAAGAATCCAACTTTGCAATATTCAAAGGCCGTTTTAAAAGTCAATTGAAATCCCCACCTCATTTAATTTTCTCGAATCAAATGAAATATAAATTTATGAGATTCGAATCAAATCAAAGTAATAGTTTCATTTAAAATTAAATTGAGAGAATTAAAAAAAACCAAAATTTTAAGAGATCATCAAAATCTAATGTTCAGATACCAAAATCTTTGAACTTGAAAAAAAATGCTTGAACTATTAATGTAATGTGGTCCAAACTTGGACCCTAGCATTATTATCTTAGAAAAAAACAACTAAAAAAAAAGGAGCCCAAAATCTCTTTAGGCACACTATATAATTGTCTCCAATGGTCAAAATATTTAGATGTACTGAAGATACTAAATGATTTACCAGAATCAATTTTAGATATAGAAATTTTTTATAGATCATAGCATTCGATAAATTCATTGTAACATCAATGATGGCTAAGGATTAAAACCCTAACAGCTGGAAAAAGACATGGAAAATCTCCATTGATGTAACTTTGAGATACATCTTATCCTTCAATTGCCAACATTTTGTTTAGGTTGTCCCCATTTTTCTTAGTTGACTTTAGTTTAAAAATGATTGTAATTGATGTGCTATTTTTAGAGAAACTTCCTCGCTCTTTCTTCCTTCAAAAAAAGTTTTTTTGGTAAACTTAATTATTTTAATTTTAATAAAAAAGTATTATTTATATTAGTGTAAGTTTTATTTTATTTTATTTTTAGATTTTTAGATCAAATGATTAGGATTAAAAATATTATTTTTAATTTTGATCCGGTGATAAAAAAAATGACTTGCACTAATATATGTGAATTCTTACTTATTTTAATATTTGGGTTATGTTATTATTAGTATTTTTTTAATAAAAAGTGAGTGTTACAATTTAAATTTTGAGAAAGCTTCTCTTTGTTATTTTAAAAGTAGTGAAAATTTTTATTACTTAATCTGAATAGGTGAATAATGCAATTTCAATAATTAAATCTATGATCGAAATTTTAATGATTTTAAATTGAATATAAAAATAAATAAATAAATATTAATTAAAAATAATTTGAATAAATATTAATTTTAGAATTTATTGAATGTGCATTATCCCCTAATGAAAATTTTCATTACTTTTTAAACTGAATCGAATTATATTACAGTCTCTGTACTTTGTTAAAATTTACAATTTAGTTCATATATTGTAATTTATATATATATATATATTTAATTTTTATATTATTTTGATTTGATAATTTTAATCCAATCAATTAATTTGTCGATTTTTTCCTTTTAAAAATACTAATGTAGTAGTTAACTTTATGATGTGCTTTAACTTTGTTGGTACAATATTGAATTTACTGATTGGTAATTTGGACAGATACAATTAAATTATTCAAATAATTTATATACACATACTAAATTTAAAATTTAGTCTCTCTAGTATAATTTAATAAAAAACTCTTCCCTGCACAAGTTAAATTTAATAATATTCGTACAACTACTAACAAAAAAATTTTTTTTTTTACTTTTTTCTAAAAGATCAGATTTTAGATTTAAAAAATAAAATTTTGATTTTTTTAAAAATTATTCCATTTTCTTAAAATAATAAATTTAATATTATCAAAATCACATTTTTTGAATTATTTAAAATCATATTTCCTTCTTCAAAAAAATTCTATATTTTGAAATTTTTTAGAAAATTTCTAGATTTTTTAAAATATTAAATTTATTTTTTCAATATTTTAATTTTTTAAATTTCATTTTTGAAAGTTTTTGGTTTTTTTTTTCAAAATTTAACATTTTTATTAACAAAATATTTAATTTATTAGTTTTAATTTTTGAAATTTTTATAAAAATTTCTATATTTTTTATTTTTTATGTTTTTAGAAATTGTTTATAATTTTTGTAAAATTTTATGTTTTTAAAAAGACTTTATAAATTTTTAAAAATTTCTACATGTTTTTATGTTACTCAAGTAAAGGAAAGAACGGAATCATAAACTTTTCATGTTTTGCTATTGTTTTGCCTTACCCTAGAATTTTTTGCTTTTCTTCCTCAAATATATCAAAATAGAACAATTTTGAAGACCGGTATCTCCTTTATAATTTATGTATTTATTTCATTTAAATATTAAAAAAAATAAAAAAATTTCTAAGAAATAAAAAATTAAAAATATAGAAAATTTTAAAATTTTCAAAAAATTAAAAACTAAAAGTTAAATATTAACTAATAAAATGTTAAAATTGAAAAAATAAAAAGAACTATCAAAAAATAAATTTTATTTAAAAAATTAAAATATTGAAAAAAAGTAAATTTAATATTTTTAGAAAACTAAAAAATTTCTAAAAAATTCAAAATATTGAATTTGTAAAAAAAAAGTAACATTATTTTAAAGAATTAAAAAAATATGATTTTTTAAACACCTAAAAAATTTAAAAATATTGAATATCTCTAAAAATTTTAAATATTGATTTTTTAAAGAAATAAAATATGATATTTTAAAAAAGTAAAAAATATTATTTTTATTTGTATTTGTAGTATTGTTATAACATTTTTAAATTTAAATGATACGAGGTCAAGATTTTTAGAAAATTATATTAGAAGAACTAAATTGGTGTAAGTACATGGATTATTTACATAATTTGATAATTAATTTTATCTATTCAACTTATGATGTTAGCAAAATTTGAGCTATGTTGTCAAGTCAATGATCATGTTAATATTTTTAATGGCTAAAAATTAAAGTAACTAATAATTGGATTAAAATTATCAAATTAAAATAATATAAAAATTAAATTTATATAAATTACAATATATGGATTAAATTTTAAAATTTCGTAAAATATAAAAACCTTTGAAATAATTTAATATTTTAAGTAGTAGAAAGAATCTTTTCACCTCAAAGACATATGTTATTTGCTTAATTTTAGCACCGTCTACTAGAAAGTGCTCACCCCTAATAAATAAATTAAAGTTTATGAGATGAACTGGGATTACATCTCGTTATGTAATCCAAAATTACGTATCAAGAAAAATCTCCAAACAAAAAGACAAAACCATAAATTGAGAATTAAATTAAGAGGGGGTCAAAATTTTTGAATGCTGAAAAAAGAAAAATGTAGAGAAAAAAAAATGAAATTCATATCAGAAGAATCCAAAGAGAAGAAAAAGTTGGTGGCCTTTCGGAATTAGCTAGAGGAGAAGACTTCTCAAAGACCAAAACAAAGGGTGAGAGAGAGAGAGAGACTTGATCCTTCCGCGTGCTGTCTGGTAAATGTATGGCAAAGTCCAGACAGGAAATATATATGGAGATTCTTATGAAGTCTTTGAATGATCCAAATCAACAAAATTCAATAGGTACCAATGAAAAAAACAAAAAAAATGTGATTTGCCATTGTCCCAAATTTGATTCCAAATCTTTTCATGCTTAAGAAAGATTTTACTCAAAATCCAAACAAGAGAGACAACAACAAAAATTCTAATTTCGTTACTTGTATCCCAATTGTCACATAGAATTAATTTACAGTATTGTTGGTATTCATCAAAACAACAAAATACATCATAACTGTCCATGTAAATCTCATCAATGTAGCTTTGAAATTTTTTTGGAAGGTTGATATTGCCCTACTAAGATCGAAATTCTGGTAATTGAAGAAGTGACAAGAACCTTTTACCATACATTTTTAGACAAAAACGCAACAAAAAACAAATGAAATCTTCAGCATGACAATGGAGACAAGTAAGGAATTAAGGGAATCTCTTAAAGCTGGTAAATAAGAAGACAAGTAAGTACAATACTATTTGGTTAGAAGATGCATGGTCCCGACGTGGGATTTTGCATATCAAATTAGGAATCCCCATAACTTGGCTGCCATGTTAATTATAGTTTACATCGTTGCCTTTTTATTTAAAGGGTCTTTTTTGGGGGATAAAGCTTAACCATAATTAGAATACTATGAAAGAGATTTAATAATATATGCATGGGTGCTTAATTGTGCTGTTTCTATATCTAAACAAGTAATTTGTCGAGAATTTTATATTATCCTCATTTAGGGTGACTTTAGAAACAAAAGTTGGAATAAAAATTAAATTATCCGTGGAAGAAATATCCTAAAATACCGTGATAGAATATTAATAGAATCTGTTCTTAATTAGTATTGTTATGTGTTCTTAATTAATTAATCATGTCATCGCTCATAAAATATAAAAAAATCAATCGTGTGAATGTATTATGAAACTCTACTGCTTTATTATTTTCTTCTTTCATCTACTTTCTTTATTTCTCTCATATATTTGATTGACTCGACAGTAAGAATCCATTACGAAATCCTAATTCCTGATAGACTCACTAATTCAAACTCCAACGAGCTCTGTTCTCACCATACTCAGAAATACTTCAAAAAGCATCATCATTTTTCACGATTTTAACTTGTAGCACATCATTGGTGACTTCACATATTTTACATCATAATCCTAATTGGTTTCCATGTATACACTTACAATTAACAAATAATATTTCCTCAAAAATGAAAATTCCAATTATTCTAGTCATCTCTAAACTTGATCTTATCTTGTCTTCTTTGCATTTTCTTCTCTATTTCCTTTCTCTCTATATAAAGAAGCATCTTTAGCCTACACCATTTCAGAAATATCAGATACATTTCTCTGGTTAATTGGTATGAGCGAATGATAATTTTTTTTCTAGACTGAAAAACAGGATTCTGTTTTTACTTTGAAGAAGAGAAGATGGTTCCAACTTGCTTTAGATTCAGTCCCATAGATGAAGAGCTGATAGAAATCCTGCACCAGAAAGTATCTGGGAATATTGCCATGGCGCCTTTCGATTTCATTGTTGAAAGAAATATTTATGATTCAGAGCCACAAGATCTTCATTGTCAGACCTTTTCCCTTCTTCTTTTTCTTCCTCTTGATCATAGATAAATTAATTTGTAAAGTAATTTTCTGATTATCGTACGAATGCTGACTATGAGTCTCTTATTTTCTGGTTTATCTATGTTTTCTTATTCAGTTGCATGTCTGAGTCACTTTTTGGCATATGAAAGTGTATAATATTAATACGTAAAGCTATCAGTTTAGGTGTCCTAAGATCATATGTCTGAATATGAAAGACAATAGAATCCCACCTTTCATGGAACATGCATTAATCAGATCAGACCAACAATCATATAGTTCCCATGTTTCATCCATCTTTTCAATCCCTACCTACTAACTTCTTTACCTTGGATTTCAAGTCAAGTCAGAAAATGCAACTGTGAGTATGACGCGATAAAAATCTCTCGCCCACCATGCCGTTAAATGAATCTTAAGTGGCTCTTCTACCAATAAGTACTACAACCATAACAAAACTAGGGAGATGGAAAGTTTTTATGGTGATTAAATTTATTTCTTGCAAGTAGTTATGCATAATTCTATGTTCTTTGAGTAGTGTTCGAGTTTCTCTTTCTATAAATCAAAAAATAAATTTATTTGTTTCTCCATTTTGAGACTCTTACATAGTGAAATTTATGTGGTTTGTGCAGGGACTCAAAATGTGGCTTTAAACAAGAATGAAAGGTATTATTATTGTAAGAGGGAGAGTGACTCAAGAGAAGTGACAGGTCGTGGATGGTGGAAGGCAACGAGCCATGTGAAGACAATTTGTGCTAAAGGACAAGTGCTGGGTTATAAAAGACCCCTAACTTTTCACAGGTTTAAGGATAACAAAAGAAACCGCAAACATGCTATCAAGACAGACTGGATCATGCATGAATATGGCCTCAAATCTATTCCAACGGTTTATTTCCTATCCGCCCTTTTTATTCTCTACTTTTTCTTCACAACATTTTTTTATGCAAAATTGTTTATATTTAGATATTATATACTGTTAGTGAACAACAAAATAATATTTCATAAAAAATTAATTTTAAATATATTTTAAAGATTAATTAAGTGTATTTTATTTTTAAAACTTCTAAAATTTAAAATTAATTTTTTGTGAAATTTTATTTTATGGTTCACTAACATATCTATATAACATTTATATATTGATCTTAAATTAAATATAGCAATCAAGATTGTGGGTTTTCATTTCAATTTGCAAATCATTGATTCGCATTTTAGAATTCTTATATTAATTTCTAGCTTGACTTTGTTTATTTTTTACATTTTTTAAGACATTTTGAGTGAAGATAAAATCTTGTTATTTGTGTATTTATATTTATTTATTTTGTATCTAATACATATAAAAAATAAAAATTATATATTATAATTTATGTTGGTATGTTAAATATAAAATTTATTTTTTATTTTTAGCAAGTTTATATACAATTTTTTTAAAGATTTTAAATTATATCATTTTAAATTTTTTTATATTATTTTCATATCATATTTAAAATGAATCTTACTTTTTTTTTTTTTTTAATCTTGCTTACGAAGGAGTGGAGACTATGTAAGATTAAGTACAAAGGAAAAGAAAAGCTTAAAGAAGACATGACATCGATGGAGAATATCAGAAACAATGCTACTCCATTGATGAGTTTAGAAGCTGGAGGTTGCAGCAGTTCCACAAACATAAATCCCATCCAGTTGGAGTTTGCTTTTGAGGAGCAGCAGCCATTACCTGTAAACAACGATTATGAAAATGAATTTTGGTCAACCTCAAGCATAATATTTGATGATCAGCAGCAGGAATTGGGCCAGCCATCCTCATTACTTGATGCAAGTTCTTCCATGCTAATAGTTACCCCAAGCTATGGTCAAGGTCACTTTGCCCTATCAGACCCCAGGGAGCAACCATTTACGGACCTATGGTCTTGGGAGAATTGGCATTAAATTCACCCCTGTTTATACCCTGAAGCAGCCCATGTAGCTTTCTAAGGGGTTTATACCATAAGGGGTTTTAGCTCCTATTGTTGTGGTTGGAAAAAATTTAGTTTAAAAAAAATGCGTTTGAAAATATTGCAAAAATTATTGTAAAAAATTATGATTTAAGATTTCTGAGTATTTGATATTGTGAAAAATTAAATTGTCTAAATAAATAATGTTAGAAAAAAATAAGTTAATTTTGTCTAAAATAAATAATAAAGTAGATATTCAATCATTTTATCAAATTGTAACCGCACCTCCTAATTAATTTTTATAATAGACATTCTTTTAGCAATAAAAAAATACTTTATTTCAAACTATAATATGTTTAGCATTATTTTTACTTTCAAAATTTGCTTTTTAGAACACAAACTAAATGCTAAACGAAACCTCTCGTCCTAACAATTTATCCTTTGATGTGGCAATAATTTATTGGTTTAGCTATAGCATATCAGTTTTTTATGATTTTTTAAATTTTAACAATAAAACAAATTAAATTATTATCAGAATAAATTAAAAGATTGAATTAAATATAAAATTATGAGTAAATCAATAACTAGCTAATACATTTTATCATATTAAACATGCTTAATTTTGTTTAAAAAAATTTATTTATACAAGTTAGGTAGTATAAAGATATATTTGTAGATTATATGTTACTTTATTAAAAAAAAAGATTATAATTGAAAAAAATATTATAATGAATTATTTCCTTTCCTTTTCACTATTTATTAAAACAATGGTTGTTAAAATTTCTTTCCTTTATTAATTTTGACTATCCAAACAAGGGGAATTTGTACTATTTCCTTTACTTTAAAAAACTTTCCTTTCCTTTCCTTCCGTTTATTAACATTTATCCAAACATAGTGTAAAAGATGAACAAAACAGATTAAGCTATATTTAAGAGATTGACTATCAACCTAAACAAAACTTTACAATCATGCTCCCAAGAAAACTAAGAAATCTAAGTCACTATAGCTCCTAAACATATTTATTACCATTGAAATCTTCAGATATTTTAATAGTGACTTGCAAGAAGAGGCAATCACTTATTGAACTGATCTTTCACTATTAGCATAAGAAATGATGAGTTAAGCAATTTTAAACTTGTTAATAACAAGATAGCCACTTAATTATTGCAATTATTTCTCCTAATATTATCATGTCTACAAAATTTTTTGTAGCATTTCCCACCATTTTGTCATAGTATGGTGCTCGGAGAGTGTTAACAAACAAGACGATTGTCTTTTTTCGTGAAGGGTAGTTAAACCTAGATGGCAATATCTCTCCATCTTTGTGTATACTCATTGAGACTTTCATTGGCTTTTTTCTCCATACTTTGTAGGGATAAGCGATCTAAAGCTAGATCTATAATATGGCTGTAGTGAGTGATGAAAGTTCTAGCTAACTCTTTCCATAAGTGGATGTGACTTCTATCCAGTTGGACATACCACTTAATAATCAATCTTATGAGGCTATCTTGGAATATATGTATTAGCAATTTTTCATTATAGGTCACTGGATATTTAGTCCCATCATACTTTTCAAATTTCAGGATTTTGAATTTTTATGGAATGACTACATGCGGTATACCAAACACAATTTGGTCGCATCCATCGAGCCTTAAAATTCATTCCCTCAATGGCTTGTAGTTGTTCTTTTATAAGGTTCATCTTATGTAAGGACTTAGGTTTTTCTTTACTTTTGAAATGCTCATTTTGATCTTCTGTTGCTTTCTTAGGTCATTTAGATCAGAAATAAGATTGGATCTGATGAGTTCATTCCTACAACAAGAGTGGTGTGCCTTTGGAACTAAGAAGGTCCTTGTGTTGCTAGCATAGCAGTGTAGGCAAATGGATATCCTCCCATAAAAGACATAGGTTGTGGTTGTGCTCCTTATGAAGTTTGGGCCCGATATGGGATGAAACTTAAGGGATATGGGGGATCGTTGTCCTCTTATTGTGGGTGCCTTTCTTAGGGACTATATTCCTTTGTCACTTTTTTCCCTTTGTTTATCTTGGTTATCATGACCATCATTGTGGCCAATTGTTCCTTTATCTCTTTTTGTGTTTTCTTAATCTTATCCATTCAATTAAATTGCTTGTTTTCCATGGCCCTTACTTGTGATTAAGTGTTATATGAACAACGAACAAGTTGATTTGGAGACTTTATTGGTTGAACTATCATTGAAATTTTATTACCATAATTTTTTAAGAAATTAGAATGCTGTGTATTGGACAATTTCTTTTGGTTTGACTTATTTTTTTATTTTTATTTTTAAGAAATAGATGGTTACTAAAACAAACATGGTGCATATGAAAAATGAATTCAAGTGAGAGATATTTGCTTTTTAACAAATTTCAACACTAGAATTTTTCATTAATTTTGAACAACTTTTGTTACATGAAGCTTATCATTTTAGAATAGTATCCTTAAAAATATTTAACTTCCTCATAATGATCCTTAGCCTTATCTAAAAAGTTCACTAAACATTATCTATATTCTCCTGTGGTACTAACTTTTCACCTTAACGCCTCTATCTTTTTGACCATTTCTTTTACTTTCTTCATCTCTTTCAAAAATTGACTAGTCAAATTTTCTATGTATTGTTGTCTTCCTAAACTTTTAGCTTTCCACTTCATGCATGATTTATTTATTTGTAGACACCTTTGAGGTTTAAAATTCATTTTATTATTTATTTATTTAATTATTTATTTATCTTTTCAGTTAAAAAAAGGAAAAATCAAATGGCCAAATTCAATTGGAAAAAAAGGTCGGTAGTTTAGTGATAAGGCTAGTTTACTTTAAATGGATTTGGATTTAAATTACTGAAGATAAAAATTAAATATTTTATGATAATATGAAAACTTTCAAAAGATGGAGTCATTTGATCTGAAACTTTGTTGATTTCTTCTTATAAATTGACCTTTGATTCATTTTCAAGGATAGAGAAGAATCATGCACAATAAAAGTAGAGAATAATTAGAGAGAAAAAAAGAAAAAGTTAAAAAGAAAGAGTAATTTTCTTAGAGCAAAGTTTGATTTTGGGTAGATTTTAGATTTTGGGGTGTTTTCAAAAGTTTTTTTATTAAAGATTCTAGCTTAGATTAATTTGGAAAGTCAAAATTAGATTGAAAAATCATTGAAATTTTTACAAGTTTTTTTTTTTTCTAGAAAATTTTTTAAAAATTTTGAATTTTGTTGAATTTTTGACCAAGTTCATACTTTTCGATGAAATTTCGATGCAATTACCCACATTTTGACAGCCAATCCTAGAATCTGGCAACTAACCTAGAATCTGATCAATGACCAATGAACTTCCTATCTATGTTAAAATATTCTAATCATCAGAATCTAGAAAAGAAGATAGAGGTCAGAGCATTTGCTAGAGAAAGCAAGGAAAAATATGAAGAAAAAACAAAGTTTTGGGATTTTATACTTGAATAAAATGACACCGTTTAGATCCTATTAATAGTACCAGGATCCGTGTGTTTTGAAGTGGGCAACTTTACCCGTGTTGTTTAAATCAATTTTCAACCCACATTACTTCAGTTGTTGTGAGTCGAGTCGAGCTGCTCTCCAGTTGTTTAAGTTACTTTTTTGTGCCTATAACGCATTCCCAAAGTTGCCCAGCTGAGCTAATCTCTTTGTGGTATTTTTTTTTATTCTTTATTTTAACGGCTGGTTTATTTATCTATCTATTTTATTTTATCATTTATTTATTTTTGAAATATTTTGCATGGTTAATTTTAAAAAAAAATTATAAAAAATATAAAATAAAATTTTAATAAAATTTGAGAATAAATAATAATTATCCAATGATGAAATTTTTTAAAATTAGAAATGACTAATTTTTAGACAATTTCTAGATGAGAATTTTTTTCTAAATTTGGCCTAAATAAAAGAAAATTTTAGATAAAGTTTCAATAATAATAATTAATATTTATTTTAATTTGTTAAAAATAAAAAATAACCAAATTAATAAAATTTTTGGGATTAATTAACAATTATCCAATGATGAGATTTTTAAAAATTTTAAATAATAATTTTTTTTAAGAAATCTCTATGGGAGAAATTTTTTTAAATTGTATTCTTCTCCAAAATTAAAACTATAGCTTAAAATTTTAAGTGAATATTTGATCATTATCCAAGGATGAAATCTTAAAAAAAATCACAAATAGTTGAACTCCTATGAGATTTCTAGGTAAATGTTTTTGTCTAAATTCAACCCAAATGGTGAAAAATTTAAATGAGACTTTGAAAAATAATTGTCATATTATTTTTTTTCTAAAAATTAAGAAACAAATGACAAATAACAAGAGTTTAGATTCTAAAAAAAATATTTCTAAATTTAACCAACATCGTAAAAAATTTAGAAATGAAACTTGTAAGATATTTCTAAATTAAGCCTAAATGGTGAAAAATTTAGAAATAAAACTTGTAAAATAAAAAATAAAATTCGAGGATGAAATTCTTAATAATTACAAGTGGATGATCATCTAAAAGATTTATAGGTGGGAAAATATTTCTAATTTTGGCCTAAATGATGGAAGAATTAGATATATTTTTAATAAAGCAAAAATTTAACAAAAAAGTAAATGATTAAATTTTTCCAACGAAAAAGCTTCTTTAAGAAAACAAATGAGATTCTTGAATGCTCTTGAAGTGAAAATTTTTTTTTTTTAAATCTTGGTTTAGTCCGGTCATTTTTATTTTCCTCCCTGGCTCAGTCTGTTACTTTTATTTTCGACATTGATTTAGTTCGATCATCTTTATTTTTTATTTTGGTTTAGTCCAGTATCTTTATTTTTTACCATAGTTTAGTTCGATCACTTTTATTATCAACCTTAGTTCAGTCTGGTCATTTTTATTTTCGATTATGGTTCAGTCTAATCACTTTTTTTTGGACCTTGGTTCAGTCCGGTCATCTTTATTTTTTACCATGGTTCAATCTAGTCATTTTCATTTTCGACCTTGTCTTAACCTAATCGTTTTTACCTTTAACCTTAGTTCAATCCAATCACCTTCATTATTCAATT